AGGAAGAGGTCCAGTTTCAGTTTTCTGCAAATGGATAGCCAGTTCTCCCAGCACCATTTATTAAATAGGGAATCCTTCCCCATTACTTATTTTTTCAGGTTTGTCAAAGATCAGATGGTTGTAGATGTATGAACTATTTGAGTTCTCTACTCTGTTCCATTGGTCTATGTGTCTGTTTTTGTACCAGTACTATGCTGTTTTGGTTATTGTAGCCTTATAGTATAGTTTGAAAGTTTGGTAGCTTGATGCCTCCAGCTTTGTTCTTTTTGCTTATGATTGTCTTGACTATTTGGTCTCTTTTTTGGTTCCATATGAATTTTAAAATAGTTTTTCCTAATTCTGTGAAGAATGTCAATAGTAGTTTAATGGGAATAGCATTGATTCTGTAAATTACTATGTGCAGTATGGCCATTTTCACAATATTGATTCTTCCTATACATGAGGATGAAATATTTTTCCATTTGTTTGAGTCCTCCCTGGTTTCCTTGAACAGTGGTTTGTAGTTATCCTTGAAGATGTCCTTCACTTCCCTTGTTAGCTGTATCCCTAGGTATTTTATTCACTTGTAGCAATTGTGAATGGGAGTTCATTCATGATTTTGCTCTCTGCTTGCCCTTTGTTGGTGTATAGAAATACTTGTGACTTCTGCACATTGATTTTGTATCCTGAGACTTGGCTGAAGTTGCTTATTAGCTTAAGAAGCTTTTGGGCTGGGACAACAGGGTTTTCTAGATATAGAATCATGTCATCTGCAAACAAAGACAATTTGACTTCCTCTCTTCCTATTTGAATACCCTTTATTTCTTTCTCTTGCCTGATTGGCCTGGCCAGAACTTCCAACACTATGTTGAATAGGAGTGGTGAGAGAGGGCATCCTTGCCTTGTGCTCATTTTTGAGGGGAATGCTTCAAGCTTTTGCCCATTCGGTATGATATTGGCTCTGGGTTTGTCACAAATAGCTCTTATTATTTTGATGTATGTTCCTCAATGCCTAGTTTTTTGAGAGATTTTAACATGATGTTGAATTTTATTGAAGGCCTTTTCTGCATCTATTGAGATAATCATGTATTTTTTGTCTTTAGATCTGTTTACGTGTTGAATTATGCTTATTGATTTGCGTATGTTGAACCAGCCTTGCATCTCGATTGAAGTGAAGCCAACTTGATTGCAGTGGATAAGCTTTTTGATGTGCTGCTGGATTCAGTTTGCCAGTATTTTACTGAGACATATTTGGATTTAATCTGTTAATATATTGTGAAAAGTTTTCTTTCATTTGTGGTCATAAAAGTTACTGTTCTGTAATGCGTTTGACAGATTTTGGCATTAGGGTTTTGCTGAGATTAAAAAAGTGTTTTGAAGTGTTTCTTTCTCTTCTATTTTCTGAAAAAGTTTATATAAAATGGATAGTCTTTTTTCCTTAAAATTTTTAATAGAATTCATCAAGAAAGAAATATGGGTCTGGAGTTTCCTTGGAGAGATGGTTTTTGATAAAAAATTTAACTTCCTTCATATGAAGTTCTTTATATTTCTTATTTCATTTTTAATCATTTTGGTAAATAGCGTTATTCAAATAATTTCATTTCATCTAAGTTGAACAATATATTGCATAAGCTTATAATATTCTATCACTATTTTAGTGTCTTTTGTATCTATAGACATACTTTCCTCATCATTGATATGGTAATTTGTATCTTTCCCCTTTTTGTCTCGATTGCTGTGGGTTAATCAATTTCATCAATTAATTAAATCATGACCATATTTTCCTCCAAATTCTTGAACATATTTATAATAATAGCTGCTTAAATATTCTCATTGGAAATTTCCAATATCTGTGTTATTTCAGGGTTGCTTTTTATTGTTTATTTTTTCCCCATGTGACATTTCCTAGTTTTTCCTATGTCTATTTTTTTTTTCATTTCAAGATTGAAATTGTGGATGCTACATTTTTGATACTCTAGAGATACAGACATATATATCTGTAGGTTTTATATATATGTATATTTGTGTATATATATTTGCCTTTATTTAGAGAGTGCTGAGATATTTTTCTTCAAAAGGCAGTGAATTTATTGGCAGATCAGCGAGATCGTTTTTAGACTTGCTGAGCTTTGTTAGGGCAGTTCTGGAGTGGTTTACTCTAGAACTTTGGTAGTCATTCTCTTGAGACATGACCCCTCTGTGGTGCCAGCTGCTTTCCCAGGGGTGTCAGCAAGTCCTCTCTGCTCTGCCTATTCAGGATTCATGTCTCCCCTACCAGTGTGACTGTCAGAATCTCCATTCCTCTCACAGCTACCCAGCAACTTCCCTCTGCCAGGTCATATGGAGGCTTTTTCTATGCAGCTGATGCTTAGTTTTTGACCAGAGACTTACGGGGTCCTCATACAATATTTAGAGGTCTTATTTTGCATAGCTTCCTTCTCTGCAGTAGCTGATCCCTACCACCAGCAGCCATGTTTACAGGTCTGAACTCAATCTCTGCCTCCCTATTCTGGAAAGACCACTGCCCTTTGCCTAGGCTTCATATCCTTGTGCTGCAGCCCAGAAATCATACCAAGGCAGAGCTTTAGGACAATAGTGAAATTCCCCTTCTAGGTTTCCTCTTTCCCAGTGATGGCGAGCCTATGTTGCCTGTTGTCTGATGCCTCAAAATAGTTGTCTTATAATTTTTATTAAGTTTTATAGTGGCTTAAGGCAATAGGACAACTACAGTAACAACTATCTATTTTTATTTAAAGTCAAATTCTTAAAAATAAGCATTTTAAAGTTTTTGTTCCATATTATCCAACAACACTATTATAAGTACTTTAAAAGAGTAACACTTTGACTATACTCTTAATCAAATTAGGCAACAAAATTCATTTGTAAGTGTTCTCAAACACATTTTTTACTAATATTTCATTACCTATTCATATGAATTTTCTGTATTTATATTTTCTCTTTCATTACTAAATTGTTTGTTTGATGTTTTTTAGATTGTTACCTTTATGGTAAACCCTGATGGTTTTCAGGATATCATTTAAAATTTGTTTTCCTAAATTAATTTTTTCCCAAAATTCTTCAGGAATTTGTTTTAATGTACCCAATGATACATTACTCCCACAAAGAATATAAATGTTCTAATAGTTTTCATGAAAGTAATCTATATTTTGTCATCCTTGTACACATTATTTGAAACACATTTTTTATGGTTATTTTTGCTCTTCTTACTTTCCCCAGAGACCAAAATTCCATGTAGTGTAGCTGAAAGTTTCTCAATGCTTTTATGTATCAGTGAATGGGAGTAGCTCTGCAAGCATCTGTGGAGTCAAAACGAATCAGCTGTCATATCAAGAGCTTAAGGACACTGGTGTTTGCAGTAGGGAACTTGGCCCTAAAGGAGATAATGTGTGGGCAAGGATTAAGTCTTCAGAAAAGATGTGTGAAGTTTTTCTGTCCTTGGCTATAACCAGGCAGCATAATCCACTTAGAAAAGAGCAATAAAAAGTAATTTGAATCACGTTTACCCCAGATAGTAAAAAAGCGTAGCTGAATGGAGCGAAACATTTTTTCAGCAGTTCTGGATGAAAAGGGTGTCGATGGGTGATAGAGTTTAGGGACAGCCATAGCAGGTAACTTTTCTATGCTGTTTAAAGACATTAATAATAATGGAGGGGACAGCATGTCGGACACTCAGGAGAGTGGACGTGAAAGACAGATGTCTCATTCACATAATAGAGATAACACACATCCACCTGCTAAGTTAAGAGACCAGCTGCTTCCTCCCACATCGACTGAGGTCTTTGAAGTCTGGAACAGGGGTGGTACCATTTTGGGTGGTGGTATTTCCAGTGCCTAAAATTTTAAAAAGGTGACTAATATGTTGTATATCTTAGGACCTCCTACAAATTGTTGAGGAAAATACAGAACTCTCAATAGAGAATTTGCCAGAGGATATGGATAGGCCATTTTGAGAAAAGAAATCCAGGACCACTGTCATGTGAAGATATGCTCAAACTCATTAGCAATTAGGAAAATACAATGGAAGGAAAAAGAGGGAGAGAACATTATTTAGCTTTCTAGATTGTTGCCAGTTATTATTATAGTGGTATGAAATAATCTAGTTTCTTTAAATCATTGGTTTTATTTACTTAAAAAAATTGTCACCTGTATCTTTATGGTTAACACTGGTGATATTCTGGCTGTGTGTAGGGGGAAGAGGCTGGAATCTCTACATTGCTAGTCTGAGAACAATCTAGATCACTGGATAATGATTAAAGGAAGTAATAGGATGTAGGAGGTAACCTTATTCACTTTTATATGGGATTGCAGATTTATACAGTGATCCTGAAGAACCCCATGGTGGTATTTAGATACATAAAATATGCATACTATTCCATATCTCGGCAATCGTGACTCACTCTGGGTGTATAATCCTATAAAGCAATTATACAAGTTTATGAAGGTATTTATACAAGAATTTTCAAATTTTTCCTTTGACCAAATATCCTGGACTCTGTGTGACTTTGGCATGAAAAGAGCCTGAAGAGAAAGAAACAGAAACTGTTGACAGAGTCCAGGAAAGACCTTAAATAAATAAATAAATAAATAAATAAATAAATAAATAAATAGAGCAAGCTTGGATCTGGGGGTTGGCAAGCCCAGGACAAAGATTTTTTTCTGGCAGGAAATGGGAGAAAAACTGCGTATGTATTTCTGAAGAATGAACATAGTACTATCTATCATATAGAAGCAACAGACTGAATGTACATACAGAAAAATAGCATTTCACTTGCTTGGGCTGAGTGGAAAAGTGACATTTATGTGATTTTTAAATACATTACATACCCGCCAACCATTGAGTGCTCTATGAGAAGGTTCATGGCTGAGTTATGACCCATCTGTTTTTTTCTCCTGGTATTTTGAACTCAGGCTTAGAAAGAGCCGGGATGGTGTTTGTTAGTGTAGGGAAATGATGGCAACTGAATTTACAACCTTTAGTGACCATCTCATTCTCACCACAAAGAGATGGTGTGCAGGGAGAGAAAAGCATGCAACAGCCAAAACTGAAGAAAAATCAGAGCTGGAGAGACAGCCATTCTACAGCTCCACCCTACTGGTGCCTTTTCAGAATTGTCTGCCCATCACTTCTTGACTTCTGCTAAACACCCTTGATCCTTTTGTTGAATTCCACTGTGGCTTAAGCTGGCTTCAGTTATTTTTTGTTACTCCCTTGCAACCTAATACATCACCTGCTTCCTGAGCTGGGTCTATGACAAGTTTGTGTGCTGAGAGGAACTGACATTTCAGTGCTGTGGATTGACTGCTGGCACAGAGATACAGGGCCCTGTCTCCTGGGTCCGAGGACAGGATTGCCAGGCTGCAGGGTGAGTTCCTGGGGCATTGAGATAAGAATCGCTTCTTGTGCATCTCCGTTTCTTCAAGAATTTGTTCATTCTGAAAGGAAATCAAAAACATCAAGTCTTTATTCTGGTTCTGTTGATACCAATAAACAAAAGTGTGTCCTTTTTCGGGGGTACAATCCATCTCTGTTTTCTGTCCTTTTCTTTTGACCAAATATCCTGGAGTCTGTGTGACTTTGGCATGAAAAGAGTCTGTAAGAGAAAGAAACAGAAGCTGTAGACAGAGTCCAGAAAAGACCTTAATGAAACAAAAACAAAAACCAACCAACCAACAAACAAAGAAAGCTTGGATATGGGGGTTGGCAAGCCCAAGCCCAGGACAAGAATTTTTCTTTTGTGCTCAGAGCTGACCTGCTGCCAGGAGACACAGGGATGCACAGCTGAGAAGCCTGGTGCCCATCGTCGCTTTGACGTCGCAAAGGGATGAGGCTTTTTCATTCCCCGTTTGCACCTTCTTGTGACGTGATCCTTCCACAGACTCATAATCATCATGCTACTGCTTCATGTTCCTGAGCAAAAACACTTCGTGTTTTTTTTTTTAATCAGGAAAAAAGCTTTTATCCTAACTCAATAAATATAACTAAGTTACTCTGTATTCATTTAAAATATTTTACGTCTATTTTTGCTAATATAAGTTATGCACTGATGTTTTAGAAAGTTAGAAAATGAAATAGCAAAATAAAAACATGACACACTGCCGGAAAGTGATTATCACTGTTAACATCTTAGTGACAGTCTTTCTAGATCCTTCTGTCCCCCATATATAAATGTGTAGATATATAGACACATTATTTTTTATTATAAAAATTCTTGAAATTCTGTTTAAGATTTTTTTTCAGTTAATGATCATCATCAGTTCTCATCAATGCATTTTCATCTTATCTACTACTTGGCTTATATGCAAAGCCAAAATATAAAATTAAAATTGTTTCAAAAGTGTCCCTTGCCATTAATTTGAACATCAGTTGCTAACTCAAGACTGGACATTCCTTCTGACCATTAATTATCTAATTATCTTTTAGTATAATACAGATCTCTGTAGTAATTGCTAAATTTATGATTCTGAAACTAGCCACTGCTTTGAAAAATACTTCACCTTCTAGTACTTTCTGGTGTATATTAGCTTGTTCATTTACTAGTGTTTCTTTTAGATGATATGTCTTTATGCTTTTTCTCTCTGTAACTATTTATTTTAAATAGTGCATTTTTGGTGACTTTTTTTCTCCATCTCATCCTCATTTCACGTAAGTAATGTTAACAACTTAATGTACATCTTTCTATAGACTTTTCCTTGCTTATTTACTTATTCAGTGAGGTTGTTTTCTCCATATTACAAAATTGACTTTGAATATATAGATAATAACTTGATAACATACTAACAAAAAGATCACTTAAAAAAAAAAACTTGACATAGGAAATAAAACATTACCAGAATATTTGAAAGCTCTTATTTCTTTTCCCAGATCACATGCTCCTGTTCTTTAACTCTATTGAGGTATTTGTTTTTATATTTATTCATTTCTCTTTTATACTTTAACACATAGGTACATAAGCAAAAAAAATAGTCTTTAGTTTTATATGCTTTCAAACTACACAAACAAGACAGCACTGTACCTTTATTCCGCAATGTAAGTTTTCAAAGTTTTACAATTCAGTCATGTTTGTGTGTTTAGTTTTAGTTCATGAATTTTACCACTCCCTAATTTCTTTATAATAATATACCATGATTATTTATTCTGTTAAGTTACATTTGGATATTTTATACATTGTTGTTATTACAAATGTATTACGGAAAATATTCTTGTCCTGATTTTCATAGAAGAGTTTCTCTAGAAAAGCCTTTCTCAAGGGTGAAATTGATGGATAGTGGGTACACACATCTTGAACTTTACTAGATAACACCAAATTGTTTTCCAATGTAGATCTACCAATATACACCCTAGCCAGTGATTCAGAAAGTTCTTGTTGACACTTTGCCTTGCCAAAGCTTAATAGACTACTATTTTTGTCATTGTAGCCATTCTTGTGGGTATATATTTCATTGGACTCAATTTCTATTTCTCTGATTATGACATTTGGCAACATTTACATGATTAACGACCATTGAGATTTTGCTAAGTGCTTACGGCTTTCACTCACTTTTTCTATTGACAGTTACCTTTTTCTCATTGATCCGTAGAAAAATTCGTTTGTAGGTTTTAAAAATATATATATACTAGCTTTTCTGAATATATAAATATAGATAGGGAGATGAATTTGGTTTAAATATAATGTATCTAATATAGATATAGACATTTAATAATATGTCACTATATAGTCAATCTTGTCACTCTTATATAATTAACTTTGATAAATTCAATATCTTAATTTTTATGTAGCCATTTTTATCAATCTGTTCCCTACTGATAGAGGGAATAAGAAATCTTTCTCTGCTCTAAGACCGGGAAGATGTGCTCTAATATTATATAGTTTTCTAGAAGCCTTGTGATTTTATTACAACTATGCTTTTAATATAGCTGGGATTGATTTTGGCTATGTATTGAGATTTGTTCAATGGCATTTATTTTTCTTTATAAAGATACCCAGTTTTCCCGTCACCATTTGTTGAAAAATACATTCTTTGACTACTGCAGTACCATCGCTGTGTTTATGCACATGTATGTTTTTCCTTGGATCTATTTATATATCAATGCCCCTGTATTACACCACTTTTATTATTGTGGTTTTATAATAATTCTTCATGTTTGTTAGATTTAGTCCTCTCACGTGGAGCTTTTACTTGAGTGCCTTAGCTATTCTTTTATCCTTTGCAGCTTCATGTGAATTTTAGATTTTGTTTATCAAGTTCTGTCAAAAACCTATTGGGATTTTTTATTGGATTACATTAAATGTATAAGTTAATTTGGGAAAACTATTTAAAACACTGACTCTATCCAACCTCTAAAGATAGGAAATACTTTCACGTATTTAAGCCTTAGTTAATAGTTATCAACAAGGCTTTATATTTATTTTCCATGGAAGACTTTCACTCTTTTTTGCCCAATTTATGTCTAAGTCATGTCTATTTGGCATTTTTGTTTATTTTGTAAGTCTGTTGCTGGTACATGGGTGTACATGCAGTATACCTGGTTGGGAAAGATGTGTGTCTAAACTCCTTTCCCTCTCACACCTTTCACCTTCTCCATAACCTCAAGTTCTGCTTTTGGTACCAGCCATTGGTAGGCGGACTCATGCAGCTTCACTCAGGGAGGCTTTTCTTTTCCTGCTTTGGTGATTTCTTGGAATAATCTTAGCTAACTCTCATGTCTTTCTAAAAGGAACTTCAGTGGAAAAGGTTCCTTCCGTTCTACTCAGTAAATGAACATGTAACATTTTACCAACTATTCCGTTACCCAAGAAGTGTGTGTGGCTTCTTCTGGCTGGTTTACCTTTATTTGTTTCCCTCATTTTCTTAGTTTTTTAATTGTTGTTTCTTTCTAACGGTCTTTATAAGAATGTAGAAGCATTCCTTCTTTGATAATGTTAAATTTGTAAGTTACAGGTGACATGTGAAACCTTTTTAAAGATTTTTTCCAAAGTTTTGAAAATCTATTAGCCAGGATCATGGTGTAATAAGACATAACGTTTTTCCTTTAAAAAAATTTAAGTGCGTGTTTAGAGTTAGGAAGCTGTTGTACATTTATGATTTGATAAAATAGTTCAAGAGAAAAAAGAAATATCAAACACTAGACAAAACAAAACTCTCACTCTCTCTCTTTTGTTTTTACATCCCATGTTCTAAATACTCCCCTTTCTCAACCTTCTTTAATCTCCAAAAGGAACCAGAATATCACAGTCTTAATTTCCATGCATTTTATCTCTGTGATCTTAATCTATATTTTGGGTGGAATTTTCTGTCCCCATAGTTCGATTATTTACATGCTGAAACCTGTAGAATTTCAATGTCTAGTCCAGCTTTATGGCATCTCAATTTCACAACTTGTCTATTCAATTGCCTACTTCTAGTTTTTATCTGTTTGTTCCATGGACAATTGAAACTCTACTATCCCAAATGGGAATTGCTACTGCTAACATTATTCCATATTGTTTGAAGTGGTGCCCTTTGTAAAGGATCAAAGTTATATGATGAAAATTGAAAAATTGTATCAATTTCTTGTCTGCTGATGACAATCAAGCTTCAGCTCTCTCTTTTGAGTAAGAGCATCCAAAGGACTTTCATACTTATTATATTCATGGAACCAAAAACTCAACTTTTCCAAAAACTCCTTTCTGTCTATTTCCTAAAATGTATTCCATTTCCTTTAATTCATGTAAGTTGATGATCTTTTTTCTCTTTGTAAACTGTTCTCCAAAGTGTCACACTCTTTAATATGCCTTTGCAAAAGTTGTTCTCTTTGCCTAGAATGCCCTACTCAGAACCACGGGTCTATCTGGTGAAATTCAGATGTGACTTCCTCTTTGCTTTCTCTGACTCAATCAGACAGAATTGGGCATGTCCTCCCTTGAGCTTCCAAATGACTTCTGATTATAGTATCATTATATTACATTATACATTCCATCTATTATAATTACTTTCTTGCTGGACCCTTAGCTCCTTGGATAAAAGATCTATTTTCTTTTCAGTTTTGTATCTTTTGTGTTTGCAAAAGTAACAAGACATAGTAAAATCTCAAGAAAATATTTTAAAAATATTAAAAAATAAAAAGTTAATCTAGAGGATGCGATGGGGGCTGTAGGGCTAGGACACATTTTCGCGGAGAGACAAAGGCTGTGTTTCCACTGTGTTGTGCTACCAGGACAGAGCACAGAGCTGTTTGGCTGGTGTGGGCCAACTCCACCATCAGAGGAAACAGCCCCTTCTGCTCTCAGGAGACACTGTGGCCTTCAGTTAGGTGTCCTCTCTGAGCATCCTCTTCAACCATTGAGTAATAGATTAGTCAGATTTTGTTTTGGGTCCTGCCAGTACCGGCGCATGGCATTGTATCTCAAATTCTGTTTCCACTCTACGGTCACATCCCATCCAGCCCCAGTGAGCTGAAATGGTGTCTGGTAGATGTCAGCATCCCAGGGTCCTGTGGGGTAAAGAGATAAAGACTGGAGATCATGTCCAGAAGGCAGGTGCTGGCCAGGGAGGGGCTTGGCAAGCTTAGGATAGGAACTGACCAACAGGATGTGTGCTGGGCTCACCTGCTCCCAGGGGACACAGGGTCACATAGCAGAGGACCCAGCTGCCCATGGCAGGGATGAAATCTCTCTGAAGTTACAGACACAGGCTCTGAAAGAGAGAAAGGCCAAGGGAAGGGGCTGAGATCTAGACCCTCCCCTGGGGTTCAATGTAAAGAATTTGTCATTGCTACAGGATGACCGATTGTCACAGCTGATTTTGCAAATGGTGAGACTAAGACTTAGAGGGATCAAGTCACATGCACCTCCTCTTCTGCTTATAGAAGCTTTTTATATCCCTCCTAAATGGACAAGGGCCTGCCTGCATGGTCAGAAGAGCTGATCCCTCATTGCCTGGTCAGAGTCATACACGGAACGCCATGTACCTGTGCTCAATGAAACACAAGAGGGGGTTGAATGTTTAGTTGTTAAAAAGAACCAATTCTCTACATCCTCTGTACTTACTATAAATAATTAATACAGTAGAGATGGAGTGGGGCTACTCCTGTCATTTTAGGAGTAGCAAAGAGTCTGAAGCACCACTCCCCTAGTGACAGTGGATTAGAGCAGGGACTCGGGAGACAGCATGGGCTTTAGTCATGTCTCTGCCACTTAACAGCTATGTAACCTTGGAAAAGTCACAGAGCTTTTTGATTTTATCTGTAAAATTGAGATAATAAGTAACTACCCCAAAACCTGTGATGAACATTACATAAAGCATTTAGAACAGTTATTAATACATAAAAAACACTATATTCGTGTTTACTATTACTACTTTCTGGACCCAATGTTCTAATTCACAGAAGGTTAAGAAGTCAATACTATATAAAGTGAAATCAAACATTTGCAGTCATAGGATTGTACCAGTCATAGGAAAGTACCATTTTCCAACACTGAGTAGAAATGTGTGAGTATAAATTAATTGCATAACATAGGTTCTTCTCAATAGTTTTAGCAAATAAAAATAGGATCCTAGATGATTTCTTAATGAATGCATCATTTGTTTTGGTAGACAAATGTTGTTCTATTTCTGAGGTTATCTGCAATTAAAAGAGGCTTTCATGATGAAACTCTTGGTTGCAAGCTGGTGGGGCTTAGAAGCTGTTGGTGTTCCTTCCTGGAAGAAAAACAGAAGGAGGGGGGAGAGAGAGAGAGAGAGAGGGAGGAAGAGAATATGAATGAGAATGAGAATGAAGTAATGATTTAGAGTGAGAATCATTAAGAGGTGCAGCAGCGTGGCTGAAACTCTGAGAAAGAATGCTTGCAACATGGTTGCTTCCAATGCATAGGTCTAGGCTTCTCAATCATACCTGCAAAGTTGAGGATCTTATTCTTTATACAGGAGTTCTTCACTTTGTACCATGGACCTCTTTGTCAGACTGGTAAATCCTAAGGAACCCATCTCAGAATAATACCTTTAATACATAAACTAGAATATAGAAAAACAATTATTTTGATATCTAGATATCAAATTTTTAAAATTCTCATATATTAATATAGGAACACATTTACATTTCATTAAATAAAATATAACCTGGTGAATCTGAAAACTGTCATGATTTCAACATAGTGATGAAAGTGTATTTACTGCATGTAATGTGATATGAAAATATCTGACTTTTATATCAACTGTCATTTATGCAACATATAAGCAAATGTCTGTGATTTCTATTGTTGACTTTGTCACTGGTATTACTAAAGCTACTTTGGTTTACTCACTACATCATAGAAGGAAAAGTATATTTCAGTTAGAGATTACTTAAAATAAAGATCTATTTTCCCATTCACATTTATGGATTCCCTGAATTTTATCTGTGCACTCCTTGGAGGTCCATGGATCCAAGGTTAAAAATTTCTGCCTTCGAAGACAATATGCTTTATGCTGGAATTCATAGTTAGGAAGTGTTTTTTAGGACACTCATATACTCTCGGAAGTACTTAGCTTATATGTGTACTTCGCAGATTTGTCAAGGTGTCAAGAGAAAAAATTTAAACTACTTTGTTAGACTGCTTACAGACTTCAATTATAACAGGTATCACATTATATTTACTGTGATTGTATTCTAGTCCTGGAAACATGGTACAAATTCTATCATCTATCTTTCTGCATATTATCTGCATTATCAAGATATTCATCATTATCCATATTATCATCATCATGATTATCATCATCATGTATATTTTATTCCTGAGAAGGATGATTGGAATAGAAAACTATAGGGACATAGTATGATAGTATATACCCTCTTGCATGAAAGAATGAGGCTTTATGCTAAGAAACCATGTAATCAGAAATAGTATTCCTAAAATGGAATCGCAAAATTATCTCCACACTGTTTTAAAATAACCTCTACAGTACTATGTGTTACTAATTCTGAGACACCTCAGATCCCAAAAATGGTAATATATACATTACTCTTATTGACAGAATTTTGACAATTCTACTGTATTTAAGATCCTTGCATTCAGTGTTAAGTACTGTCCTATTTCCTAGATAAAGGAGTAAATAATGAAAATATTTATATCATTAAACACCGTTACTATATTGCAACAGATTTGACAGTATGTTCCCATTTCTTGCTTCCAATATGGTAATTCTCCATCTGAATACTTGTATCCATTTTTAAATTAGTGAATTGTATTTTTGGAGCAATTTTAAGTCAACAGCAAAGTTGAGCAGAAACTACAGAATCCCAAGTATTCCCTGTTCTCACACGGACAACTTTCCCTACTATGGACACTCTGTGTTGTACAACCACAGACCTGATGAAGGCGGCCCATGGGAGAAACAAAAATGGAATTCAGAGACTTGACCAGCAGGGCTGCCTCACCCCAATCCCTCATTCCAAATTATGTGCTTACCTGCAAGACATTCCCTTTAATAATCTTAACTCATAGGTATGTTTTCATTAACAAAATATACCTCTTCTTAAAGCACACCTTGCAGAAATTTCACAGCTTTCCCGATATGTGCAAATGAGTATATTTTACCTGGAAACAGAGCGGCACTAACACTTGATTGGTTCACGTGGTGAACAAGGCTGGCTTCGTGAGCTCACATATGGTTGCTACAAACTATATGCAATTTCTGAAGAAGATGTTTTTATGTAATATGCTGAGGTAGAGATGTCAATTGAGAAATGTAAAGATGAAATTGAATTAGGCTGATGTGAAATCTTGGCAGAAAATTTTTTTAAATATATATTTTATTGCATTTAAGGTTTTGGGGTACATGTGAAGAACATGCAAGATTGTTGCATAGGTACATATATAGCAATGTTGTTTGCTGCCTTCCTCCCCATCACCTATATCTGGCATTTCTCCCCATGCTATCTCTTCCCAACTCCCACCCCCCACTGTCCGTTTCCTATTCCCCCCCAACAGACCCCAGTGTGTGATGCTCCCCTCCCTGTGTCCATGTGTTCTCATTGTTCAACACCTGCCTATGAATGAGAACATGCGGTATTTGATTGGGCAGAAAATATTTTTATTTAGTACATTTATAATCTTACTAAAATAAAATTTAGGAAAACATATATAAAATCTGTATAATAAAAACTACAAATCAATGCTAAGAGAAATCAACAAAGATCTCAAGAAAGAGATGTGGGGAAACTTTTTGAGACGATGGAAATGTTTTGCATCTTTATTGTCATGATGGTTATATGGGTTTAAAAATGTTTTGAAATTGGTTGAAGTGTACACTGAAAGTGGGGGTGTGTTTTATCGCATCGGTTGCATTTGTTTATTGCATAAATATTCCATATATATCTTATATCTCAGTAAAGCTGCTTTAAAATTTTTTGTGATTGTCCCATTACTGAGTATATATCCAAAGGATTGTACATCATTCTGTTATAAAGACACATGCACACGTATGTTCATTGCGGCACTGTTTACAATAGCAAAGACCTGGAACCAACCTAAACGCCCACCAAGGGTAGGCATGTCCAGTGATAGGCTGGACAAGGAATATATGGCACATATACACCATGGAATACTATGCAGCCATAAAAAACAATGAGTTCATGTTCTTTGTAGGGACACGGATGAATCTGGAAACCATCATTCTTGGCAAACTAACAGAAGAACAGAAAATCAAACACCGCATGTTCTCACTCATAGGTGAGTGTTGAACAATGAGAACACATGGACACAGGGAGGGGAGCATCACACACTGGGGTCTGTCAGGGTGGACTAGGGGAGGGACAGCGAGGGTAGGAAGGTTAGGGATGGATAATGGGGAGAAATGCCAAATATAGGTGATGGGGGCATGGAGGCAGCAAACCACATTGCCATGTATGTACCTATGCAACAATCCTGCATGATCTGCACATGTACCCCAGAACCTAAAGTACAATTATATATATATAATAATATATATAATTATATATATATAATTATATATAATTGTACTTTATATATATATAAAGAACTTTATATATATATATATAAAGAACCATATATATATATATATATATATATATAAATTTTTGGGAACAACAAAAAACACTTTTCTGATTGTACTATTCTGGAGGCAGGATTGCTAGTGGTTCCCACTAAGCTTCCATAGCAGGGAGAGTTGTGAGAAGCCCTCATAAATCCCTTAGACTCTCTGTCTCTAATTCAAGGAAATGTGCTGGGTCAGATGATCAGAGTCTACACCTGAAAGATACAGTTGACCTGCTTGTCATTCTTATTTCTGAACTCACAGCTTTACCAAGTGAAAAGCACAGAATCACATTCTTTAAGTAGAGATTGTCAGAAATCCATAAAGCTCATATAAAAAGAGAGAGAAGGTAACCTAGTATATCTTACCTAATATCCCAAACTCTGAGGAATCTGAACTTTTTATGCCTTCTGGGTCCTTCCCTAGGGTTTTGCCTCCATCAGCTGTTTTAAATAACACCCCCCTTTGTTTTTTGCCTCACTTAGAGCTGTTATTTACAAGTTTTTCCTTCTGATTTATTGTCTTTCAAGCTTGGTTTCTGATATTATAGTTCCTACCAACCTGATATACCACTTATTTCCTGAGCTGGGTCCGTGATGAGTTTGTGTTCTAAGAAAGGCTAACATTTGACACTGTGGCTTTGCTGCTGGCACAGAAATACAGTCCTGCATCCCCTGACTCAGTAGACTGGATCTCCAAGGCACAGGGTGAGTTTTCGGGGCATTGGGCTGAAAATCGCTCATTGATCACTTCTGCTTTCTGAATGATTTCTCCATTCTGCAGGTAAACCAAAAACTTGAGCTCTTCTTCCAGCTTCTTACGATACCAGTAAACATAACTATGTCCTTTCATAGGAACACAATCCATCTTTGCTTTCTGTTCCTTCACTGTGACCACATGTCTAGGTCTCTGGGTGACCTTGGTGTCCAAGGAGCCTGTGGATGAAGGAGAGAGCAGCTGTCGAAACAGTCCAGGAGCAAGCCTGATTCTGCGGCCACAGGAGAGAGTCTTGAAACTGGAATCCAACCAGTTCAGAACTGGGACTTACCTGCTCCCAAGAAAGAAAGGGCCACACAGTAGAGAAGTCTGAGGCACATGGTTGGCTCGGAGAGAAATCGTGGTGGTGGCTTTTTCTGTAAGGCCTCCTCACCCCCTGTCAGCAACCTGCTTGTGACGTGATCACTTCCCATAGCCTTCGTAGATGCTCTGTACATGGGACAGAATCCTTTCAATTTCATAGAATAGGAGGAGGGCAGGCTTTGTTTTAGCTGGTGAAAATAGGTAGTGTAAGTTTCAGCCTGCTTTTAGTTTCTTTTTCATGACTCTGTTTTGCCAGTTTTTTAAGTAAAATTACTCAGACATTTTATTTACTTTTTTAACTTGTCAATTTGCTTCTTCCCATCTTCCCTTCCATCTCAGGTAAGGAATCATACAACTTGGGATTTACGAATAGTAGCTTTTGCCACACTTATAAAATCACATAGCAGCTGCTTTACATTAAATAATTCTCTTTTTTTCGAGACGGAATCTTGCTCTGTCTCCCAGGCTGGAGTGTGGTGGTGTGATCTTGGCTCACTGCAGCCTCTACCTCCTAGGTTCAAGCAATTCTCCTGTCTCAGCCTCCCAAATAGCTGGGATTACAGGCTCTAACCACCACACCTGGCTAACTTTTGTATTTTTAGTGGAGACAGGCTTTCACCATGTTTGCCAGGCTGTTCTCAACTTCCTGACCTCAAGTGATCTACCCGCCTTAGCCTACCAAAATGCTGAGATTACAGGCATGAGCCACTATGCCCAGCTACATTAAAGAATTGAATGTTGAACTATACCGAACAATATTTATGACAGATACACAATGCATATATAGAAGCAATAAAATGAATACTCTTGCCTGAACCAATGAGCTGAAGAGATAGATCATTGCTGAGAATTTCTGTCATATTACTCTTTAAGGTTTCCTCATTGTTTCTCCATCATGCCCAGGTGGGTGTAACCCTGAAGTTTAAATTTGTCATTCACTTGCTTTTCAGTCCAGGAGCAAGCCTCCCCAAGTGGTGAGTGGCCCGCCCCCCCAGTGAGGCAGCAGGGAGGCATCCCAAGTACCAGAGCGGAATTAAGAAAAAGCAGCACGTGATGTGTTACCTGCCACATACTCCACAGCATTGTTACTACCAATTACTTTCACAATTACTCAACTATTAGTCTAATGCCGATGGTGCTTTATCAATGCATCTTGCCTTCTCAACCTGTTATAACCCCCAAGGCGGGTGTGCCCCCTAAATTTCAATCCTATGTTCTCTGCTCTTTTCATTGTACACTCTGTATCAAGGGGTTGGAGGCACTTTCATTCTTCCAGTGATGCTAAATGTCCCAAAGGTGTATTTCTTATCCAGACCTGTTTTCTGAGTCCATGTCGTGTACATCCAACTGCTCTCTGCATATGTCTGGTTAGATTTCTGTCCCAAAGGCACTCTCAGTTTCAAAGTAAATCTTGATCTTCTTCCCACTTGGTCCTTTTTATCTGGCTGTAGCAGTCTCTTTTAATCACCCCCAACCCCCTGCATATTGCTGCTCATATCTAACCAATTGTCAAGTCCTTTGATTTACTTCCTTTTAAATTTCTCATTTCACCGTATTTCTAACACCATCGTCATTATCCGAGCTAAACTACTGCTTGCCTGAGCTGACATGTTCCTCTGCATCAACTCTATCCACACTGCTGGAGGGTGGCAGCGTAGGCCCCCCAACCCTCCACCCAAAATATGCCACTTTGGCATAAGGATTATTTTGAGCTAGAGGCATTAAAGAAAATAGCAGGTGTAAGAGGAGTTCACTGACCCTTCCCTTTTTCTTCTTGAAAAAGAGGGGGGCCGGGCGCAGTGGCTCACACCTGTAATCCCAGCACTTTGGGAGGCCGAGGCGGGTGGATCACGAGGTTAAGAGATCGAGACCATCCTGGTCAACATGGCGAAACCCCATCTCTACCAAAAATACAAAAAAATTAGCTGGGCATGGTGGCGTGTGCTTGTAATCCCAGCTGCTCAGGAGGCTGAGGCAGGAGAATTGCCTGAATCCAGGAGGCAGAGGTTGAACCCAGGTATTGCGGTGAGCCGAGATTGTGCCATTGCACTCCAGCCTGGGTAACAAGAGTGAAACTCCATCTCAAAAAGAAAAAAAAAAAAAAAAAGCTTGTTAAACTAATCCTCACCTTCCTAGTCGCTTTGTCATTTGACCAGCCAACCTAGCCCTAGTGCCGTTGCTTTTTCACATTTCCACAATGGGTGACTCTTTGCCTAATTCAGTATATGTGTGTTCAACTCTAACTGCATATTCAGGCCTTCCTTTACTTATCAGGGCTTTCGTGTGATGTAAAACTTATATTAAATAATTTGTGTGCTTTCCTCCTTTAATCTGCCCAGCTCTCAGGCCCAGCCGAAAAATCCTAAGAGGGCAGAGGTAAAATTTTGCCTTTCCTGCAAGGACCATTGTTTCTTCACTTTGTGACCAGGGTGATTAAATACACAGATACACACGCAGCCACTAATGTGATTACTACATAAGTCAAATGTTTAAAACCTCAGTGTCTCCTGTTAAGCTTTATGGTGAATTACGTATCAGTTACCTTGACCAGTAAGGTTATAAGTGGTCCAATGCCTTCCTGCCTTCTTCAGTTTCACTCTGTATTCCACCCATTCCTCCCCCTCCTCCTGTCCACTGCTGACTTCTTTCCAGTCGTTAAACACACCAATTTATTTCCTGATTAAAACAGTTTGCACTGGTTCTTTAATCTTTTTGAAATGCCCTTTATTATCCCTAGTCCCACTTAACTCTAGCTCATCTTGATGTAATAATATTTAAAATTTATTCCCATACCTTTTATTAAAAGGAGGATAACCATTAAATATGCAAAACCAGGAGCTTCAGACTCTCCAGGGAGTATTTCATCAAGAATTACTTGCAAGAAATTATACATCGTTCATTTTTTAGGATAAAAGAGTCTTAACTGGTTTTAAAAAATGGCACCAGATAGGAGATTACAGATAGAAGACACTCACATATTTATGGGTATTTGAAATTGACTACTGGTCAGCTAAAAGTAGTTACACTGCTTTCCATATTCCAGAATGGGAAAACAGCAGCAGAGCTATGAAGTTGTGAAGTAAATAATCAAATATTCACCTTCGGACAGCTGAGATGGTGCATGAACTGTAACAAATGGGTCAAGACTCCTGGAAACCAGTTCCTGGGATTATTTTTGACATTAAGAATGGGGCTATCCAAAGATATAGAGGACTTAGAGGACCCTAGATCCCTTGAAACCTCTGAAATTCTCCCCATGCTTCTCCTTTACTGGGAAACAGTGCCTCCATTGTGTGTGTGTGTGTGTGTGTGTGTGTGTGTGTTGGGAAGGAGGATGTAAGAGTCTCTTACCTCACCTATCACTGCCTCTGAAAGGTGAACTCGATTTACAACAAAGCCCAGAGAGTAGAATATAAAATCAGAACAGAAAGTTCAACACTTCAAAAAGAATTGGTCATCAAAAATTCATGGCATTGAAAATGTATAGGAAATGTGATAGGATTTTGTTTTATTGGTACTTGTCCAAGGAATATAGAACACAAATTTGGATTGGATGCTGTTCAATGCTGTTTTTTAGCCCCTACAACGTAACGTAGGTAGGCAATAGGCTGTGTCCTTGACAGTCAACTGGTTTGGGAAAGGCAGGTCTGAACCCAGCACTCCTCCATGCTAAATGTCACTGAAACACTACACTCCTCAGCTTAATGCAGAGGGGAATGGTGACAGCATGAAATAGGAGTGTAACCACTGTCTCCCTGTTTCATGCTAGAGCCTTAAATCCTCTTGTTTTCCATGCCATTAGTGAGGCAGTGGAATATTTAAAAAGTATTTACTAGCTCTTTTCTCCAGGCTGAAAACACTAACAGAGTAAAAGGCTACAACTAAAATGGGTCACTGGGTTCAGTGGCAATGGCACAGTCTGAGCTGACTGAACCAGGTGGGGTATTTAGCCACCAGTAAAATGTGGTCATAGTGGAGATAAAATGTAGCAGCACGTCTGCTGCTGAATTGGCTCTCATCTTATTCCAGGCAGTTCCATGTTGGTCGGGGGCCAAATGTCATCTTAATACTTTCATGTTCACCCTTTGTGTCTAAACCCCTGCTCTCTATTGCAAAGGGATTGACAAGGGTCCAGGTCTGTTGGATGGTAGGTTGTCTGCTGTGATTTAGCAACAGATGTCTATAAGAGGATGGTAGCAGTTGAGCCACTGCTATTCCACTTCCTGGTTTGGACTATAAAATGCTTTTGATGCTTTTCTTGTCAGAACTCTAATCTATTCATTTATTTGTTTTATTTTCTCTTCTTTTTGATTTTATATGCATACAGTTTGATTAATCTTAACCAGTGGTTCATAACACACAGGTATTGCTTGTCAATGAATCGTTATTTATTTATTTAAAAATGTAGTAGGCACTTGTAAAACATCTCCTCCTCAACGTTAGGCAAGATAGACCTTGATAATACTTCAATGTGTAGCTGGGTAGTTCTCTCTCATTCTATCTCCTGCCACGCCCCAGCCTTATAAAAATCCTGAACTTGGATCATTATTATTCCCTGCCAGTAATGTGTTGGTAAAGGTTTGATAACTAACTCTCTGGAGGAAAATAAAGCAAACCATAATGTGTTATGTTTGCTGATTTCTGTCGTGTAAATGCCCTCACTATGGCCAGTTTCAAGCTAACAACATGATGTTACTAACACTGGAATTGGGAAAAATGTGTAGAGTCAGCTCCCATGAGCTGATAAGGTTGGCTCCAGCATGCAACTGGTCTTTGCTTTTCTTTCAACGTAATTTGATCTAATATATTTTAGTCCTGAAAATTATTTTCTTGACTCATTTGTTTTTAGCCTATGCTTTTCATAATCTCATTAGACTTAGTTTTTACGTTTGCTGTTATATTGCTAAGATTCACCTATAACCTTGCTCTTCACTGCAGTTCATTCACTTTGACTCATACGAGTATGCCAGTTTATTCATTCACTCCTCTCAGTGCATATGTGGCTTGGTGCCATGTTTTTCTACTGTTTGATGCTGTTAAGAACACGCTTGTATTTACGTCTTCTGATATGTGTATGCAAGAGCTTCTCCTGAGGTAAACCTAGGAGTGGAATTGCTGAGTCATGTATGCAAGAGCTTCTGATATAAACCTAGCAGTGGAATTGCTGAGTCATGGGATATGGGAATCTTCAGCTATGAGATAATGCTGAACTGTTTCCAAATGGTTTGTAGTACTTATGCTCCCATCAGTAATTTATAAGCAATCCTGTGAATCCATAACCTCACTAACATTTTATATTTCTAACCTTTTTACATTTTCCTAATCAAGTGGATATAAAACTATGTATCACTGTGCCTTGCTTCATAGTATCCTGATCATCAGTGAAGTAAAATATCTCTTTATATGTTTATTGGTGATACATGTTTCTTCTTTTAAATGTATGATCATATGTTTTGCTCATTTTCTATTGGCTCATACAGATTTGTGATCAATGTAAATTTTTGGTTTCCCCTAGGAAAGGATTTTCACTGTTCTACTTACTGTCTTCTGGCTACTGGCAGAATTTTCCAGCTGTGTAGACAAGCCATGTTGTCTGAGGTCTTCCTTCTAGGCTTCTAGGCTCCCTCTGTCTCCTCTTCCCCTTGACACCTTTCCCAGGAGCCAGCTTGCCAGCACCTTCCCTAGGGACACATACCACATGGTGTGTACCCAGGATCAGAGGTTGCGCCTCTTCCTTGTACCCAGCCTTACCCTGTTCATTCATCAGCTGAAGCATAATGGAAAACATGATGGCATTAAAAATTCACAGGAAATGTGATCGGATTTTATTTTGGCGGTCCTGATCCAAGGAGGACAGAATACGAATTTGGAGTATATGCTATTCAGTGCTGTTGCCATCCTCCCCTAGGGTAACGTATTCATGTGGAATTCTCTCTGCTTGGCTGCCTCGTGGTTCTCTTTGTCTTGAGGGCCCAGCATGGTGTCAAGAAAGAGAGCCAATTGCTGAAGTTTATTATTAGGAGATGCACAGTGATTCTACAGCTGTCTTCATATCTACCTATAGGATTATGTGTAGGTCTATTCAAGAACATTGACTAACATGGCAGAGTCAGGGCAAAATTCCAGGTTTTATCATTTTCAAGGAACTTTCTGAGTCCAGTGACCACTTTAGGCCCAACTCTATTGATATTTCACGGGTCTTGAACACTATACCTCCTCCACACTCCACACTCACACTTCTTTTCTTTTTCTCCCTCCTTCTCTCTATCCCCGCCCCTACATACACACACACCCCACCCCACACGCCCACATGTCTCAATCAGGAAAGCTGTGGTTTTCCATTCTCCACGCCTCCTTTCTCAGCACTCCCCGGGCCTGTTGGGGCGGAGGGCTGCTGCAGGGGTTCTTGCCATGCTCTCTCATCCCCTCCTGGCGCTGTGTCTCTACCACTGCAGAGGTAGAAGCTGCTGTCTTCAGGCTGGGCACTGGCCACTGTCAGAGATGAGAAGGTCAGGTTTGGATGGCTGATGGGAAATTTGTCCTCTGAGAAGCCTTGCTCATATTTGGCGTTGGAGCCCTCATTGGAAGTTGCCATCAGTGTGAGGCCCTGTTTCTTTGACTGACGATACCAAAACATAGTTGTGGCCTGAAAGTCCAGGGCGCGGCACTCGATCTTCACAGAGGTTCCACTCTTACAGACAACCCTGCTTGGATGTTGAGAGACGACAGCGCCAAGCCCGGAGCCTGCTGGAACAGGAGCCAGAGAGAGGAGAGGCCAGTGGGACGCGAGTCAGACAGGATGTCAGGCAGAGCTCAGCCTGTGCTCACTCCGTCTCCGTGCTCACAGCTCCTGGAGAATCCTGTTTGTTTAGTGCAATCTTCCTGTCGTCTTTCTAGAGCCATAATCCCCCATCTGCTCTGACCAGTGGCTCTCACCTTACCCTTCACACCTCTAGAAAGCAGGCTCACTCACTCTCCCTCTGATGAGCACAGGCAATCCACATTGTCTGGCCACCACTTTACCATGCCAACACACGCAAGTGCCCACCCAAGCTCCCAGGTAGGAGGAGGCTCATACCTGGCCCCAGAAGCAGCAGAAGCATCAGCATCTTCTGTGATGGCCTCACACCACCTTCTGTGGGGAGAGTTGTGACCACTGTCTCCATTCACCAGCTGGCTAATCACAGAATCCCAAGGATGCTCTGGTCTGCCCCCTGGTGGCGATCTGTGCCTATGACTGATGCTACATCCGTCTCTGCCTGTCAAAGAACCATGCATTGCCTGAAGTGGCCTAAGGGTTTCTCAATTCAACTTCTAAATATATTGAAAATACACTGAGACATAGAGCATTGCAATGACTTCAGTGAGTTTCTTATAAGGAAAGGAGTGTATGTTTGGGCAGTGAATGGCGTTGTAGTTTGTTTGTTGCTTCTGTTTCATATCTTCTAAGTTAATCACACCAAGACAGCTCATACTTGCTAATCACTAGAACTACAGGGTTGACCCTTTCTTCTAAGTGCCAGAACTGGACTTACAGAGCCTCCTGGGCATTTCTACACAGATGTCCAATAAAGATCCACTACAACCAGAAACTCAATTTTGTTCAATAACTTTTACTCCATTCATTCCTCCAAATTTTCTTCCATTGCCATATTCCGGTGGAGGAGGGAGTGTTGATTTTTTTTCCTGGTATTATCTCATCACTCTTTCCTTCCATAGTTCCTTTAGCCTGCCTCCCTCTTTTGGTGCTTGCCCATCTGGTGAAATCCTACTTGCCCATCTGGTGAAATTTGAATAATAAGTTTCATTTCAAAATTTGCTTTCTCTTTGACGCCCTTCCTGATGTCACCGGACAGAATTGGCCGTGTTATTTCCTATACTCCACTAATGTCTCTGATTAAAGCACGCGTCATGTGAAATTATGATTACAGGGTTTGTCTTCTACATCTCTCTTTCCACAGGCTTTTATTATCTTCCTGAAGGAAGGAAAAATTTTCTATTCATTTTTGTTATCTAGCATTCAGTAAAATAGGAAAAAGCTTGGGGTTGTGAGATTAACTTTTCTCTTCGTTCTTCTCTGTGTCTCTCTGACTCTCTCTCTCTCATATATATCTTATATAAAACATATAACAGATGTATATATGATATATCCATATATATCTTATATATAATATATACCATGTACATACATATGTACATATATGTATGTATCTCTATAAATGTATATATCTTATATACAACATACAACGTATATATAACAAATCTATATCCATATCCTATATGGCAGGAAACTTCACTAAACCACTAAGTGGGCTTAAAAAACTCTCTCTCTCTATAAAACACACTATAAACTATAATTTTATATATATATATATATGTATATATATATGTATATATATATATGTATATATATATATATGTATATATATATATATGTGTATATATATATATGAGACTATATAATACTATAAAATGGCTGGGCATGGTAACTCACACCTGTAATTCCAGCACATTGGGAAGCCAAGGTGGGTGGATCACCTGAAGTCAGGAGTTCGAGACCAGCCTGGCCAATATGGTGAAACCCTATCTCTACTAAAATACAAAAATTAACCAGGTGTGGTGGCATGCACTTATAATCCCAGCTACTTGGGAGGATGAGGCAGGAGAATTACTTGAACCCATGAGGTAGAGATTGCAGTGAGCCGAGATTGCACCACTGCACTGCAGTCTGGCGACAGGGTGAGACTCTATCTCCAAAAAGTAAATAAATAAAACTATAGTTTATAAAATTATATATATACATATATACATAACTATAGTTTAAAAACTATATATATAAAACTATGGTTTAAAAAACTATATATGTGAAACTATATATAGAGAGAGGCTGAGTGAAGTTTCCTGCCATCACACAGTCTGTTGATGGCAGCAGCTGCACTGCATGACTGGCTGAGGTGCAGGAAAGAGGGCAGGCAGGGACCGTGCAGAGGAGCCCTGCCACCTGGTCGGGGAAGCAGGACTGGGCACATTTATGCACAGAGAGGCAGCATCTGTGCTTCACTGTGTCAATACTACTGGCACAGAGATAGAAAGCTGTGTGGTTCCATTGGGCCGATGTCACAGTGAGAGGGAAGGACTCCTTTTTCTCCCGAGAGACGCTGTAGTCTTCAGCTATGTCTCCTTTCTGAAAGTCATCTACTATCCGTGAGTAGTAGATCAGTCTCAGTCCTTGCCCTGGGTCCTGTCGGTACCAGTACATGGCATCGTGGTTCAAATTCTGTTCACAACCTAGGGTCACAGCCTGTCCTTCCTTTCTGAACAGGTACTTTGGGGATTGAGTGATTCCACCATCCACGATTTCTGGAAAAGAAAGACATGCTGAAAGTATAGCCCAGGGAGGCACCCGACGCTGCTGTCCTTTGGGAAAGCCTTAGATCTGGAACTTGCAGCATTCCAGATAAGGATTTTCTCCCTGAACCCAGAACTCACTTGCTCCGAGGAGACAAAGGGCCACACAGCAGAGCGCCTGGTTGCTCATAGTGGAAAGGGGCCCTCCTAGTACCTCCAAGCACTTATTAGAAGAGAATGAGAAAAGAGGCTTGGCTCCGGGGCTTCCCCTGGCCTGATGTGTGGAGTTTGTCAGAGGCTGGAATGAAGAGGGGAGAGGTCCCTGGAGATATTCAAGACAGTCTTTCTAATTTTGCAGATGAGGAGACAGGACAGAGAACAGAGTCATTCCCACCTCCCGTAACTCTACATCGCATCTGTGCTGAGGGGGCTGGCACCTCACGTTTCCGGGTCAGAGTTTCACTCCAATTGGCTCATTGGTTTTTATCTTTCCAGTGACCGTATGTTTGAGTTACTTTAGGAGCACTGTAGACACTCTGATTATACAAGACTGTGAAATTCATTCATTTTTCCTTTTTTAAAAATTGATACATAATATTTGTATCTATTTGTGGGTGTCTGTGATATTTTGTTACACGCATAGAATGCGTAATGATGAAGTCAGGGTATTTAGGAAGCCCATCCCCTGGAGTTCTTGTCATTCTTTTGCCATCAGTTCTCTCAGGGAGAGTGACTCCTGGGGTCTGGCCAGCGGTGTCTGTGGACACTGTGACAACGTACTGCTTAGCCGTCCTGCTGCACAGAGCCCAGCGCTGCGGTTCTAGGACCCTCACGTGACCACACCAAGACCTGGCCTCCTTTGACCGCCTTCTGACTGGCTGGTGTCGCTCATGTCCTTCTCATTCTCCTATGTGTTTCTTTGCCTTTGTTCAATGTCCTGACAAAATTTTCATTTGAGTTTATTCTCCCTTGGTCATCTTTTAATTTATTTTTCATTAATGGGATAATTTTGTCTTTTTCTTTAATGTCCTTCCTGAGTTCAATCAATTTCTTTTTTCATGTCTTCTCAAGTTGGCTATTTCTAGTCTGAGTTTTTGAACTCCTGGTCCGGTGATGGTCACATCATATCCTCAGCTGCTTACTTGAGTGTATTTAATTCTGTTTGGAGTGTAGACTTACGTTTTCTTCTGACTCATGATTGCTTTTGAGGTGAGGAACAGGGGACAGAGGTGAGATGTTTTCCTTTGTTGTATGGGTTTTCCTTTTGTCTTGTTCATTTTTGTGTTATTGGGGTGTTTTACAAAATTCCTAGTTTCATGTTCCTTTTGCCGTCATTCTAGCAAAGTCCACACTCCTTAGTGAGCTTTTTGTCTTCGTAGTGGGGCTGGTTGTGTCCTCTTAATTTGTGATTTCCTTTGTTTTGCGGAACTCTCAGTGTCCCCTTTTCCCTCTTACTCCTCACTATTGAATTGTCAGAAGACTCTCTTTTCTCCTCTTTGCCTTTTTTCCCCTCGCTGTAAAGCAGTATCTTTGGAAGCCTGTTCCTTTAAATTACACATCTGGTGCTTTAAATGGCATGGAGTTTGGCATCCCTCTTCCTTGCAGCCTTGCTGGGGTCTCAGGGTTGGTCTTTTTTGGGAGATCTCTCTGGATTTTTCTCAGGCTCCCCAGCCAGCATCCCTCTTCTGTTTCTTCCCAGAAGATTTTCTGGGTGTTTCTTCTTTTGGGTGAAGTTGAGAGAGGGGCAGGAGTATATTAAATGATTTTAGAAAATCAAAGGGCAAAAACTGTAGTGACGTCCTGTGGTTTATTCTCCATGCTGGTGAGTCTGGACTTAGCCTGCATATACATTTGAAATGACTTTGTCTTTGTCTGCCTTTTGATGTTAGGAAATTGTTCCATCATAGCAAATTATAACACACCTTTTTCTGTAGTTGGCCTGTATCTGTTGAGTGATGATGATAAAAACAAACATTAATTGAGTCAAAAAGTTGAGGTGACACATTTCTAATGAGCAATATCTGTGGGCCAGACCTTTTCCCTAAATTCTAGATAAATTTATCCAACTCGATTTCCATCATCTCTCAGATGTTCTATAATTTTATAGCAGAAGTTCTTGAATCTAGCATCTGTACAAACCTGCACAGGCACTCGGCAAGGAACAGAATGAGGATTATGGCCTGAAAGAATGCTAAGCAGCATGATGTGGGTTAAAACTCATAACCCTTTGAGCCAAATGCTCTCTCTCACCTGCTAGGTTTTTTTCTCCCTTCCCTCCCCTCCCCTCCCCTTCCTCCCTTCCCCTTGCCTCCCTTCCCCTCCCCTCCCTTCCCCTCCCCTCCCCTCCCCTCTCCTCCCCTCCTGTTCCCTTCTCTTTTTCTCTTTCTTTCTCTTTTTCTTTTCCCCCTGTCTCTGTCTCTCTGTTAAGTGTCTTGAAACTGACAAATTAAGTCAATGTTGAAACCGACAAATTATGTCTAGCTCTTAAAAATCTTTGTTCTTTGGATGACAGAGTCTTAGTTTCTGGGCATATATCCTAGGATGTTTCATGATATTCCTACAAGCCTCCCCTATTTCCATCCTCAACTTGCAGAATGCCTTAGAGCTGACCTGTTCTCTGTACAGGTAATGCGTCTCCTTTCCCAGCCCACCGCTGTCCCCAAGGCAGGTCTGGGGGATGTTTGTGCACTGAGAGGATGCGGCTCTGTGTCGATGTGGTTATTGAGCTGGCACAGAAATAAGCTGCTGAGTCTCCACGCTCTGCCTGCTGGATCCTTAGGATGCTGGGCCCCTCTTTGGGGAATTCAGCAGAAAACCGTTCCTTTGGCATTCCTGACTCATCTATGATGCTTTCCCTCTGGAGATAGATCATGAATTTCAGACCTTCCCCCAGGAGTTGCTGATACCAATAAACATGATTGTGTCCTTCTACTGGGCTGCATCTCAGTCTTGCCTCCTGTCCCTTCCTCCTGACCAGGTGTCTTGGGTTCTGTGTGATGCCGGCATTTGAGAGACCTCAGAGGAGAAGAGACTGCATAAGACAGAGTTGTAATGGCAGAAGAATGAATGTCTTACAGTGAAGGAGCCTTTCCTGCATTCGTTTAAAAACTCACATGAATTTTGCTTTTTCCTCCACAATGTAATTATTTGTTTTCATATGCAAAAATCCTTAGACAACACAGAGGTCCACAGTATATTTGAGACTCTGCTGTAGAGCCCAAAATGAAGCCCAGCGATGGTGATCCTTTTGCTCAAAACTCACCTGTGCCCAGAAGACAGATGAGCGCACAGCAGAGGACTATGGTGTCCATGGCAGAGTTGGGCATGGAGGGAGCCTGCAGGCAGGGCTGGCAAGGCACTCACTGCAGCACATAAGGGAACCAGACCTTACAGCTGCCTCTTACAAGACGCTTCTTCCTGTGAGGTCACCACTTCCAGTGGGTCCTATGGTTTCTAGAAAGAAATCTCGTATGTCAGTTAAATGGTAGATCTTTTGTTCTTACCTGTACATACAACCTAGGCTTTGTGTGTGTTTGTGGGGAGAGTGTTTTGAAGTGAGCACCTCTATATTATTGGTTTTCCTTATTCACTTTTTTAATAGACTATATCTAGCTTTGTTGCCCAGGCTGAAGTGCAGCAGTGCAATCGTACCTTATTACAGCCTCTATCTCCTAGGATCAGTCAAGAGAGTCCTTCATCTCAGCCTCCCAAGTAGCTAGGACTACAGGACACCAATCCCAGATAATTTTATTCATTTTTTTTTCATAAATGGAATCTTGTTGTTTTGTCCAGGCTGGTCCCAAATTCCTGGGTTCAAGGAATCCTCCCACCTCAGCCTCCCAAGTAGCTGATCTCACCGCTATTCTTATTTTTTGTTTCTTTATTTTCCTTTTGTTGGCTCATATCATTTTTCTGTTTTCTGGCTGTTGCTGAGTGGAGGTATTGACAAGAGTTGATATCTAGATGCTCACATTAAGAGACAGGGAAGTGGACACCAACATTGCTGGAAGGAAATTAGAGACAGAAAATGATTTGGCATTGTCTCAGCTTGTTTTTCGCTCCCACACCTCAGCTAAGGAATGGTTTCAAGCATTTTGAGGGGACTTTAAGATTTGTAATTCACTTTCGTCACCTTTGCTTATTCCACTTGAATTTTTGATATAAGTAATTCAAATAACAAACCCTAGAAAAACTCCTCCCTCTGACCTCATGTCTCCTTGTTCTAAATACCTAGCTATACCACTCTCTGCAGTCATACTTGGGATGCCTGTGTTTGAGAGATCTTCCTTCCTCACGTTTTTTTCTGTCCTTTCTTATCCTGTAGCATTGAATAAAAAGTATGTGAAAGTCTACTTTGTTCCAGGCATAATGAGAGAAAGATCTCACTCCATTGGATAGGCACCCTAGAGGAGTTAGGTGTGTGACTTGTACCTCTAGGACCCTCCACACTTAGATTAATAGATAAGATCATGTTAACATTGAGTGTCCAAATAACAATGATTCATGGCCTTACTCATATCGAGATCCTAGGGATCCCCAAATATACTCTTTTTTCTGATGTTGGAGCTGTCATTTTGGATATTTTCATGTTGAGATGTCTTTTTCTTTAAAATTGAAATATAATTTACATGCCATAACATCCACACTTTCAAAGCAAGTAATTTGGTGGTTTTTAGCATATTCACAAAGCTGCAACCATCACCATGAATTCCAGAACTTTTTTTTTTTTTTTTTTAGATGGAGTCTCACTTTGTCACTAGGCTGGAGTACAGTACCGCGATCTCGACTCACTGCAACCTCTGCCTCCAAGGTTCATGCAAGTCTTCTGACTCAGCCTCCTGAGTAGTTAGAACTTCAGGTGCATGCCACCACACCCAGCTAATTTTATATTTTTAGTAGGGACGCAGTTTAGATCCTTTCCTATTTTTAAATTGGGTTCTTTGTTTAGATCCTTTTCCATTTTTAGATCCTTTCCCATTTTTAAATTGGGTTATTTGTCTTTTTATTATTGAGTTGTAAGAGTTCTTTATATATCCTGGATACAATTCCTGGTGAGATATATGATTTGCAAGTATATATTCATTTTGGAGTGATCTTTCTTAAAAGTGTCCTTTGAAGTACAGACTTAAAAACATTTGATTAAGTCCAATTTATCTTTTTCTTTGGTTGCCTGTGTTTTGAGTTTCATGTTTAAGAAGTCACTGCCTACTCTGTAGGACAAGTTCCTGGATGGCCCTGGCAACACGGATCCCCCTTTTCTCCTTTATAATTATTAAGAATAACTGTAGGATGTGCTAGCAATACCACATCCTGTGTGGTATTAAGAGGAACTGGCAGCAAAAGCCTGGGCTCTGTTCTTGTCTCTCCTGGACAAAGGATGTCCCGCAGTGCTTTAACCCATTAAATGTAGCCCCTGGGTTTTAAACCCAGGACAGAGTGCACTTTCAGAGTCTCTCAGCTGCAGTGCAACATGAGGCATATGCAGACAAGATTCCATCCATCCTGGGTAGCTTTTCTGAGCCTTGAGAGGACAAACTCATCATGAATCCTAAGCTTCCACTGCCTTTTGCTGCCTATCTGTGAGTAATAAAGTTGCTTTGCTCAAATTGTTATATGAATCATGCAGGTGATGGAAATTGCAGTTCAGGATGCAGTGGGCTGAAGTGGTGGTTGGCATGGTGATGACCTCTGTCATCCTTCATGCATTTCTCCCTGGAAAATTAACACAATTCCCTGGGATTATTAATGGTGCCCAGCAAATCTGCTTCACATCTACCTGCTAGAATAGGTAGTTAGGCGGATATGAGCAGGGCAAGAGAGACCCCCTCCTCACACACCAGGATGTCAGGTGATCATCAGGTGATGGTCAGGTGGTTGTTAAACTGTCTCTCAAAGATGATAATTGGTCACAGCCAGCATCCTGGAAAGACAGTTTCCACATAGATGAAAAACATCTGGAGCTGGTGATCAGCAGCTTGCTAAGAACATCTCTGGAGTTGGGCAAATGGGCTCAAGCATGTGCACAGGGGCTAAATGGCAGAGTTTAACTAACATATGACTCTAGGAACACCCCACTGGTAAAGGAAAAATGCCTCAAGTGAGCATGTGCACAACTTCAGTAAGAACAGTACGCACTCAGCCCCTCCCAAGTGCTGGTGGGCCCCTGAGCACACAGACAGCTTTCCCCAAGGAAAAACATCAAGCGAGGAGAGACGCAAACCCTAGAATCATGATGATGAGTAAAACCCCAAGTCAAGTGCTAAACAGCGCACTTAGGGCTCTCAGGACGCCTGCTTGGCCGTCTTCCAAGTGTCCGTTACTTCCTTTCACTCCTGCTCTAAAACTTGCCTGGGTCTTTTCCTCTACCTTGGGCTTCTGCCCCTTGGCCCCATTCTTTCCTCCCAGGAGTCTAGAATTGAGCTTACTACAGACCCATATGGATTTGCTGCCGGTTACATACACACCAAGGTCACAAAGATGTATACCTATGCCTTCTTCCAAGAGTTTTTGCTTTTACATTTAGGTCTTTAATTCATTTTTAGTTATTTTTTGTTTATGGTATGAGACAAGATCCAACTTCACTCTTTTGTACATACATACACGGTTTTCCCAGTACCATTTGTTAAAAAGACCATTCTTTCCCCATTGAATGGTTTTTGCTGGACTCTTGTCTAGGATTAATTGCCCATAAATTTATGAATTTATTTGAGGGTTCTCAATTCTATTCCATTGACCTGTATGTTTATACTGTTCCAGTACCATACAGTTTTGAATAATGTAGTTTGGTAATAAGCTTTGAAATTGTGAAATATGAGCAGCTCAACATTTTTTTCTACTATTACAACACTGTTTTGGCTGATGTTGGTACTTGAGACTTCCGTATGAATTTAAACATTGGTTTGTCAATTTCCAAAAAAAAAAAATACAACTAGAATTTTAAAATTTTGACAGAGATTGAGTTGACTCTATAGATAAATTTGGGGAATATTTCCACTTAACAATGTTAAGTCCTCCAATCCTTAGACATAGAGTATCTTTCTATTTATTCAGATCTTTAATTTCAACAATATTCTGCACTTTTCAGTCTACAAGTCTTTTCTGGGTTTTTTGTTTGTTTGTTTAATTTATGCCAATATATTTTATTATTTTATTGCAATTATATACATAATTCTGCTCTTAATTTCATTTTCAGATCATTCATTGATAACGTATAGAAATACAATAGAACTTTTGGATTTAATCTTTTATCTTGCACCTTGCTGAACTTGCTTATTAAATCTAGTGGAGTTGTGTGTGTACATGTGTATGTGTGTGAGAATTCATTAATATTTTCTATATACAAGATTATGTCAGATGTCAACTGTAATTTGAGTTTTATGTTATGTCTCCCTTTCTAGTCTCTTATTTTCTTAAAATGACTAATTTCCCTGGCTAGAATGAGGTTGTTACAGGTTTTTTTTTTTTCCTTACAGTACTTTAAGAGTGATGCTTTCCTATTTTTTTTTTCCACTGGATACCCCAGAAAAAAAATTTCTTTCTTTCTCTTTCTTTCTTTATTATTATTTTTTTTAAAAGAAAAAACAAGTGAAAGTAAAGAAGAGAAGATGATCTATGAAAAAAATTTAAAAAGTAAATATTGGCTTTAACACAAACTCCACAGTTGCTGTTTTTTATTTGATGTTTATGTTTTCCCCAAGTGCATAAGATCAAGGTAACCAAACACTCCTGAATTCCTAAAAAAAAAAAAAAAAAAAAAAAAAAAAAGTCTGTACTTTGCCTAGACTCGCCTGTACCCAATAGACAAAAGCCTTATACAAGAATTTCCGCTCACCCATTACAGAGTGCAGCAGAGAATGCATACCTGCAGCTTCAGGTACCAGATCTGAGGAGGGTGGGAAACAGTGCTGCAGTTGCAGTTTTGCATGGATTCACATGCATATTTTCTTTATTCTATCAAATGACAGAAGCCATAGATGAATGGTTCCTGGATTAGATGAAGATCTGTTCTAAATTTAAAAATTTTAAATTCCTATGGTCTAATTTTAAGCTATTTTTCTGTGTGTGTGTGTGTGTGTGTGTGTGTGTGTGTGTGTGTGTAAGCTCTGAAGTGTAAGGCAGCAGTGAGCAGTGAGTGAAGTCACTGATCATAGAATGAGAAGATAGTGAGTTTGTTTTGATTATAAGGATAGATGTGAGGATATCTCAACTGTGCCTCATTTTCAAAATGATCCCATTTGAATTTGTATGTCTCCTTTATTGAATATTCTCTTTCATCTGTGTTCCATAGATTTGTTGGTTATATTTTTACTCTTGAAATCCAAGGGTCACCTTAATCTCTCTAATCTCCCTCACTTTTCACAGCAGACAC